ATATATGAGTCAAACTGACAACTGATGAGTGCCATAGTCGTTATGTCATATCTTAGGGCATCAGTCTTCCAGCGACATTAGATGCTCTTAATCATTCAGGGCCCTGTCACCACTTGTCTCACTCAAAGCTGGAGTCATGTGGCACTTGGAGTGCTGGGTTATATAAGGGATTCATAAGTAGGCGGCAAGATGACAGGCCAATAATTCTCAACTAAAATAAGAAAATACGTTGCCTCTCTTGAACACACTCAACAGCACAGAGTGCCGTTTATATTTTCATGTCTGCATTAGCACATCAGTTGTGGTAGTTTGACCTGTTTTGTCTATGAGGTTCTATAAGCATGTAAGTGTGCAAATGGAATGTAGCCCTTGGCTTAACTTAGCAGATTGTATACTGTGTAGGTGATACAAGCTAGACTGGAAACAAGTGTTCAACATGTCAGACTGAAAAATGTGAGGCCAAAAACATTTTTGTAGTCTTCAATTTGTACAAAATTCTGTTCAAATTGTTGGAGCATGTTGAACTAGCTTGCTAACTTGTTTCCACACACACATTTTAATCTTGGGCATTTAGAGACATGATTACATTTTTTAAAAGAAAAAGCTAAATAAGGGAAACATGCTTATTTTGGTCTGAAACACAACGGTACAAGACAATGGATAATGGCCTTCAGTGCCTTCTTGTCTCCCCCAAAGAACATCTTTGTGTTTCCCATGTCAGGAAACCTATAACTACCAGCAGTATGTCCATTAGTTTTAATTATTGCTAACTAGCAAACATCCACAATTGCTAATATTGTTAGAAATAGTTATTTGACCTTCACTAGTAGCGATGTTATCTGTGTAAAGTGGCATTGTTATCTTAAAATGAAATGGGTTATAGCAAATTAAGAACAAAATCAACTTAGTCTTTTTACATCAATGTCACCTTGATGTTGTTGCAGCCCTGTTACATGAGATTTAAAAATAATATGTAAAATAGACATGTGTATTTTCTGTTTGTAGTGTTTAAATTAATTATTTCTTTATTCCTTTCAATTTTGTTTCACCAAATATTGTGTTCTTGTAGATACATAACTTTAAATGTCATAGCAGTCTGTAATAAATTATCTAATTAAACATTATCTTTTTTTTATATTTTAATTCAATATATCTCTAAGGAATTAAATGATCACCTGTGGGCATTTGTCATTCTTTGACAACAATGTGGCCTTGAAGGGGGCACCTCTGAAACTATTTGTCATCAAACCCCAAGTGGGCCCCCAAAGACATAAAATGGGCCATTTCCTAGAATGACTAAAGGTGTGGGACTCACACCTTTTTGATATCTGAGCACCCACTGAC